TGAACAGAGCAGTTCATCAGACATGACTCATTTACTGGTGACACGGTCGCTGGTCGCCGGTTTAGCGATGCATTAAGAGTTCGTACAAAAAAAAAAAAAAAAAAAAAAAAAAAAAGGTTATAATTTCAGTCGAAGCCAAATTATAATATCCTTATATCACGCTGGTTTAAAATTTGGCAAAATCATTTATGATTTTAAATTCTAACTCATGTCATGTCTTCTGAAGTGTATAATGAACCATTCATTACTCTAAAGCGAATTACATTGACAGATGTTTAAAAAAATTCAGCAGTTTTTTTTTTTTTTTTTTTTTTTTTTTCCGGGGGGAGAGTAACAATTTTAATCTCCGATTAGGAAGGAATTCTTCTGATATCGTATTCTTCACTTTTGAATGGTGAATGAGGATCTGGATAGCAATATATATATATAGAGAGAGAGAGAGTGGTACACTTGAAGATTACTTTCTTTTAATGGACAATTGACCCTTTCACCAGAACAAATACAGTTACTCTGCAGCTTCAAAAGGGAAATACAACAAACCGCTCAAAAACGATTACCTAGGAGTCCAGATGACTTTGAATTTCTAAAGAGGTAATCGTTTTAAAGAAATGGAATTAGTAATGAAGTTTGATTAAGTTTTCAGAATTACTGCGCTTTCAAAGGTGTTTCCTCACTATAGATTTCACTATATTCAGATAATCTAATCAACTGGACATAAAAGCTCCTTTTTTTTTTTTTTTTTGTTTTCGCTTAAGCACTTACGTGGCTTAAGTAGTTGTTCTCCACGTTGCTGAATATAAAGCGAACTGAAGTACGTTTGAAGCGGGTATGTTTTCGTTTTCTGTTGATATTTAAATGAAAAATAACTTTATTCTGAATATATTTAACAATTATTCAAATTTTTTAATATTTTTTGGAGCTCTTAGAAATATCCGGCTACTATTTCACTCGCCATCGCTGCCGACCTTAATCGGAAACAAGGTCAGGAATGAGAGAACTCGATCCACTGAGATTCTGCCTTAGTGAAACACTGATGCGCATTCAAATGTGATCGTCACGGCCACGAGAACCAGTTTGAGCCACTTCCCTAGCCAACGGCAGGTTATGCAAATTCCCTTCGAATGCGAACAGCGAAAACTGCCGCCTCCAGCTCCGAGTTAATAGGACTGTCGTTTTCCTCCAAAGACATTAGCAAGTTGCTTTTTCTCTTTCTTGGTATTTCGCGGAGGGTAAGCGCATATGAAATTTAAAAACGTACGAAAACGAAACCTGCCTAACCAACTGTAATTCCAAAAGTTGAGCCATTAATTATCCTAGATGATTTTGGCCTTCTGTAAAGGTGATATTAAATACGGATGTTTATTTAATCTTAGGAAGACTGATCAGAGGTGTTCATATTAAGAATGTGGAGAAGGTTCACTGCACACTGAAACTCCTTAAGACGATCACATGTTATTCCAGGTGATTTTAGTCTTCTGTTTATGTGATCTTTTTCAGGAGATGACTAACAGTATGATGTTTGTATATGTTCTAAGAAGTGCAGCTTATCTTTCGGAAGTTCGTCAGAAAATACATGTATATTTATTTCTAATGCCATAACACCTCGCAATTTGTTTTTAATAACATTTAGACGGTTGCCAAATTTTTATTTATCTTTGATTTTGTTTATATTTGAGTTTTCGAATTGTTGGTTTATTCATGCTGACGAACTCGCATTTTTGAAAGGTAAAGCACATTAGACATAAATAATGATGATAAAATATAAATGAAGCCTTAACTTAAAACGAAATAAGAAAATTAAGATAATTTTTTTATTATATCGAAGAAGATATTATTGCTATTCATTGCATGAATTTTCTGTCTTGGCAATTTACAAATTGTTGCTACTTCGCTTGCGGAAAATAATTATGCAACCCTTGTGTCCAAACAATTCAGAGCACAACTATGTTTTGAACAATGAAGTTCTGCCCTTTTTAAATACGAAATTCTTCATGTGGTGATAATTATGATAACATAATGTTTTTTTACCATTGGGTAATGTTATTTTTAACAGTTCGTTATACATAAGCGTCTCTTCAAGATGACCGTTTTCGGAAGTAATCGGTATCTCTTTGAATATAAATAAATATATATTAAACAATTAGCTCTTTAAGGAAATCACGTACACAGGAGACAAAATCTAGTATCTCAGGTACTTGCCTCAGTGAAGTAGTTGGGAGGGGGCAAGGGGGGACATGTGTCTCGGGAGCGCCAAATCGATGTTTTCCATTGCATTTTGGCAAACAGGAGTCGCGAAATATTTAGTTGTCCTTTGGTTTTGAAAATCCTGGCTACGGCTCTGCTAGATTCTTTTCGCTGGTTTTCTCCAACCTCGGTAACCGATCTCTCTGTTGTTCGATTCTGTTCGCGAGTAAACGGTTCTGATACGATCTCTTATATGAGTAATTTTTTTAAAAGGAAGATTTTAGTCTTAATCTTGCACAATTTTTGTTCTAGGTAACAGTGGCAGGCTTCAGTATCGATACAGAACCATATCATAGCATTAAAGATGATGAATATTTATTTTTTTTTTTTGGAATAGAATAGCAAACAGCATTCCCCCCATCATCTTTCTTAACTTTTAAAGCGTGAATAATTTCAGTGTACTGCTATTAAATATTATAGTTATAGTGACATCTAAATTTGATATATAATGCTGATGCTATAATTGCTTTTGATCTCCAAGTCATTGCATCGTTCGATAAATGGACTGATGAGAGAGGTGTATTGAATGAAACTCAGTGTACCGTTTTTTCCCTCACAAACCACTAGTGCAAGGATGCACTTTAGCTCCATTCTTCATATTAACGAATTTACAATTATTTTAGAAAAATTAAGATTACAGATATACTTCAACGTATTATGAATTCGTGATTTTTCTAAATCACTGTATAAAATCGGTCGTATATTATTTTGTGAACTCCTTGAAAATGCGGTTCCCCTCATTTCACGGATTTCTTACCTTGGCAAAATAAAAAAATATTGCCACTGGAAAAATTTAATGTTTAGTTTAAAATTATTGTCTCAAAGAGGAAAAGCTTATGATTACGATTAGATTGCAGTATTTTAAGATTTTCCTACTTTAAAAATTTAAAAAGAAAAAAATATATATATATATTTTGTAAATTTTTATTAGTCCGAAATTTTCCAATTTGACTTCTAATTTTTTTGAGGAGGGGGGGGGGAGCGACTAAAAATTGCGTGTCTGAGTACACAATTATATGACGGCTCGAACACAAGAGACTACGATAGCCAACACTCATCTATCTAAAAAAAGTAATACAAGATAAAACATCTTATGATATGAAATTGAGTACTTGCTTTGCAGAAAAGTGAAACATAAAGGCGCAATCTATCCACCGCATAAGAAAACAGCTACGCTCTGTTCTAAATATTTTCTATGAAAAACCGTACCACATTTTTTTCCTACCAGTTACTTTTGCTGTCTCGCTTTAATTCTAAAATTTTAGGCCTATCGCAATCGCTTAGCTTAAAATTATTTAAAGCGTTGAAATCGAGCAGTTTCTGCTTACCGCGTGTAAAGAAATCAGGCCTTTTTTTGCTTTGTGTATTTCGTGCAAATATTTAAAGGCAGCACTTTTTTCTGGAAGAAAGTTTGCTTACGTTTCAGTACTTGACGCAAAAAACAGATAAAGGCCTGTCATAATATTTATTGGCTGCAAATACATAAGTACGAGATGCATTATAAGTGAGAACTTGTCCAGATAACACTTGCTATAATATTTATTGGCTGCAAATAAATACGTATGAGATGCATTTCAAGTGGAAAACTTTCGGATAACACATGTATTTACCGGCTGCAAGTAAATAAGTATGAGATGCATTTTAAGTGAAAAACTTGTCATGCACTTTTAATTTCTGCAGATTTCTTACGCTCATTATTAAAATTACACACATATTTCTGAGCGTTATTATCTTTCAGTCCTAATACATACCTTATATAACAAAAATGAAAGTTATTAAAGAGAGATTCAAATTTTCATACTTTGAAAAACGTATTGCAAGATTTCGCAACAGACGGCCCGCGCGTCGGATGCAGTCCTTTTTAATTGCTTAATCCGACCTGTTATAAAATCCCATCTCTTTCCTCAACGGTTATGTAAGCAAAATAGTTAAATCAGCATCACTACTGCGCATACACCATTATGCCCATATAGACACGCGACTGTACTAGAGAACACTAGATATGCATCCAACGATATAGTTCTATAATCTAGCAGTTTTAATTTAAAGATTGAACCGGGGGAGGAGTCTTCCTCTCATTGCGTCTTGGCAAAAATATCACCAGACAAAGCACCATCGCACTTTGCAACTCCCTTGTAAAAAAGACCTTTCTGGCCATTTGGCTGCCCTTCGTCACTGGTTGAAAGTATTTAATTTACCCATGGTTAGAAGTATCTGGTCACTCCGTCTACAGTAATCTGAACACTGTTCTTGAAATACCGTCTCTGCCTTGACTGACGATGTTGAATTTTTTAAACGTTTTATCAGAAAAAAATGGGAGTCCATGCAAGATGATGAACATAAGCTTGATATGTTAGTGAAGGTATAATATATGGCTAAAAGACGTGACTTTCGACGTAGATTCAAATACTTCCGTTTATCGTAAATGTAAAAAAGTGTAGATGATAAATTACCATAACTTATTAAAAAATGCTGATGATACAATACAAATATGAATTTACAAGAATACAGTTAGCGAAGAAAATGATATGGGCCTTTATTTTGACAGCTTGAGTTTCAGACAAAAAAAATAGCAACTAAAGCTTCAATCCCTATTGGTTATTACGTGTTATGTATTTGGCATCAAACAGAAAAAATATTTTTCCAGTGCCGTCAATGGCTGTAAGAGAATTTCATTATAGGAAATTTTATTAAAACTGTTGTTTGGAATAAAAATTTTTGTGACAAAACACGAAATAAATAAAGCACACTAATAATAAATTTAATAATTTATATTTTTTATTTTTATTCACATCTTATTCACAATAAAGATGCCCACTCTTTATATATTGTGCTGAAGTACACGGACAAGTGTACTGTAATAATTCGAATTTGTAGCAAACGGGCATAAAAATATGATTTAATATTACACTCTGCATATCATATGGGAATGTTACATTTAAAAAAATGCTAAGTCACACTTAGAATAACAGGAACACATACATTGGTCCCACCCAATCAAAGGCACTTTTTCTTCTTTGCACCATTTTTAAGGCATGATTTATTCTATCATATTTTATCACTGAAGCCATTCGTAATTGATTAAAACTTTGTATTACAATTACATAACATTACTGATTTTTCACAACAATAGTATATATAAATAAAAATAAATAAAATTAATGCTAGTTAAAGTTGAAACATATTACATCTTATCTGTCACATTACAGCTTTGCTACGATTAATGTATAAACATAAAATTTCTACACAACCTTATAATATTAACTCTTGAGGAAGTCATGCTTAATATTTTGCATGCAGGATAATAATAAAAAAATTATCATAATAAAATAACCGATTAAAATAAATAACACATTTAAATTATTCCCCACATTATTGCAAAACAATTCTATTTTAATGTGCTGCAATAAAATGCTAATATAAAAGCAAAACCAAAATAAAAAAATATTCCAATTGATATGGCCATCACAGGTAAATAAATAGAAATTTACAGTCAGTATTTCGATACATACTTTGAAGTGAAAAAGCACATGATTACATGTCTACATAATGCAAAATAGCAAATTATTAGTACGTTCAATGAATGTTTTAGATCAGTATAAACTAACAAACTTTGATTACATATGCAACAACAAACTAGCTTAGATTTTTTTGTAATATTCGTGCATATAAACGACGACCTGCTCTCTTTCTGTACATAAAATGCAAACTGTTTTATTACATATGAATTAACAAAACAAATTAAAAATTACAAAACATGTATAAATTATAAATATGTAAAATTTATTCTTTGTTACAAAACAGCAAACAGAATGTTAGCATATTGCAAAAAAAACTAGTGCCTTATTTTGTTTCATATGATTTTTTAAATAATTACAGACACAGAAAGGGAAATTAAATAACATAAATTATCACTGGTAAAAATTCCCTTACGGTTTGTGCAAGTTATGATTTCAATGCTACAAAAAAAAAAAAAAAAAAAAATTAAATGCAGACATTGATTTATGCCACAGACACAGTATGATCACAAAACATCAAAAGTTTAAATATAAGCATTAAAATCTTTTTATAGATACCTAAAGTATAGTTTAAAATAAATAAATATTTAAATACATGATAAGGTGAAAGCATATTCGGCTGGGACAGTCAAGTCCAGAAAATCAGTTTCACTCATGGATAAGAGCATCCCAGGAATTGACTACACAAATAAAAATGAATTTATTAATTATGTATGTAGATGATATTTCGTCACTCAGGACATGTCGACAGAGTATTACACCAATGAGGAAAAAATCTGAACCTAAGCATTATCTCATTTACAACAGTAGACAAGCACATTCACAAGAATAAAAGATTTTATATATATATATATATATATATATATAATGATCTACTTTACAATGCAAATCAAATAAATATGTGACTACCTCAATCTTGCCCAGATAAAACTGTAACAAAAGGTAAAAATGAAGCTTCAAACATTACTTAAACATACAGTATTCAATATAATTTAAATATTATAAATCCGAAGTTGTTAAACATGGTATAAAAGAATAACTTCTTTCACCATAATACACTTACGCACTTCTTGCAACACAAGAAAAAGGGTTACACTGCTTGGTTTTACAAAGCTTGCTGCGAAAGGAGATAAAATGTAAATCTAGTATTATCAGAATTAATGAGATGTACCTTTATTCAATCACTAGTAAGAATGAAAGTCTGCTTGTGAATAATCGCTGAGAAGATTATGAGATCAAAATTAATGATTTCACGAAGCAGAGTTCAATGATATTACACGATTAAACTGGCATAAATAAAGCAAAATTTCTTTACTAGATTATATTTACACAGCAAACTGATTTCAAATAAAATTAGGTCAATATTTTACAGCACGCCATTACTTTAAAATAGTTACCATTCTATTTTCAAAAGAAAATTATTGTTTTCTCTGCACTTAGCTGTATTAGTATTTATACAACTTTAATTTAATTTTAATATAAATATTGGGGTATTTGGTTATGACTATTCACTTTTATCAGCTGTCCCTCTCCAGTGTGTTACAAGCCAGTCGTTGGTGCATTTTACTGATTATGAATTAGATCAAAAATAGGAAGCCGAAAGAAAGAAGCATTACTGTCAATTGGAGTGATAGGGGTTAGGGGGGCAGCAGTCTGGATCAAATCGAAGACAGGGTTTCCATGAAAATTGTAGTTATCAACACTGACGTCTGGCACAGACATCAAACCTTCGTTAAAAACATTTACAGAAGAATCGTAAACATCTGAATTATATTCACGCGCAGGAAAGTCGTTAAATCTCAAGCTATTCACTAGGTTTGTAAAATCCTGAGTAAACGAGAGGCCATTGCTGAGACCTGGTGACAAAGGACTTTGATGATACAAATCCTCAAAACTCTTCATCCCAGTAGGAGTGCCACCATGGCTGGACACTGGAGAGAGATCTCCAGCAGACCCCAGACTTGTAAGTGCTTTTGGCCTAGTGATCGGAGGTGTAGGAGAAACGCTTCCGGTCAAGTTGGTCAGCAGACTCTTCTTAGTCTCCTCGCTGTTGTGAATGAAGTGACATCTAGGGCCATACGGGCATAAACCTGTGCTATGAAAAGTGCGACACAGTTCTGTTTTGTACTTTGGATGTCTCGCCATGCTGCGTAACTCTTTTGCACCATGAGCAAATTGGCACTTGTCACCGTACTTGCAGGTACCATTCTCCTCAAAAGGCCTGCATAGTTCGGTCTTGTAGCGGCTTGAATTAGACTGGACCACTCTCCTATCCGCGGCAGGCTCACTTGCACTTCTTTCTAGTTTTCTAGCATCTAAATTGCTCAATGATTTGATAGCAGAAGATACATCTTGCTGGGTCTTGGATAACGGCGGGCTACAAGAGTTCCTTCGATGGTGATTGGCATTCTGATTGATATTAGTCACTGACGATTTCCCACCCTGCAGGAAATTCCCCTTGTGCGTTGGCGACTGTAAAGAAACAAATATATAAATGAATTACAAGTATACATCAGAAACATTTACCATATTATTTTCAGCACCGATATTATAAGTTAACATTAATATTAAATATTATAAACCCAGAATGAATTCACATAGTTCCAGGACATTTAACGCTCTTCAAATATTCAGATGTAGGTTTCCTGTGGCATAATAATCTTCTTGATTAATGCATGTATTAAAAACGCCTGTTTGTAAATAAAGTAATATATTGAGAGGTAGAGAGTAAAATAAAGATCACACATCTGCTTATTTGCGGGTTAGTGGAAGAAGGATATTCAGCAAGAATTAAAAAAGTTAAAACATACTCCCATTGTTTTTTGTTCCCCACGTAACTGACAGGACTTTTATTTAGAAAAGGGATAAAGAAAAAATTTTAATGAGAAACGTTTTAAACTTTTTTTTTATTTCATCACGCGTGATCACTGCTTGATAGAAGCCGTACAAATGCTCTTGTACACTGAATAATTAGAATATACTCTTTTAACAAAAACTGAGTTGTAAAGGAATGTTTTTCACAATGTCCATGACAAAAATTCGCGATAAACATGAATGTTCAAAACACCACATACGTCAAAGCCCCAGAATACACAGTGCAATTTGTTAACCATCCCTTGTCCTTATAAAATGAGAGACGGTGTCTGGCAACGGTATTCATTTGGCGAGATCGGAATAACCTTGAACACAAGGAAGTCACAGAGAATTAATGTTTTGTCATAAATGATTGTGAGATGTATAAAATTATTTATTTATACTTGTGTTTTATTATTCTGATCTAGAAGTAGCCTAAATATCAAAGCGACTGATAAATTTACATTACAAACCCTGCGCATTTGCTCAGATGGAAAAAGAAATCCATCCAATGAAAAAAGAAATCCAATGAATCAGAGAAATCTTAGAATAGAATATTACTTTCGTAATTTTTTGGGGGAATCATAATTTCGAATATGAATTCAAAGAAACAACGATTATACGATTATTAACGCGCAAAGAGCGTTTTTGGCATAAAGGAGCTCATTCTCTCATGATAATTTTGGCACAAAAGGAGAACCTCATTCTTTAATTATCATCTTGGCACAAACTGAGAATTCTTGCTAAACCATCAATAAGCACCCGATACCTAAGTGTACTACATACATACTTAGCTAGATAGATCCTCCGCAGAAGGCGGTGAAATCGATGATCTCCAAGTACAGCGCCAACACATTAAAACGCTTATTTTCTAATCGACGATGTGTTTTCACGTCTGTTTCGTTTTCAGAACAGTATTTAATGAAGCACATGGAACTTTCAGTATTCTGTTGCAAAACATGATTTAAACTGAATGAATTTAGTGCAATATGAACATGCTTTTTCGTATTCCAACTTATCACTATCATTTTTTAAGAACTCAACTTCCTCACAAGCTGTAAAAGCAGCTGTAAATTATCATGCCACGCGCCACCTGAACTTAAAACTCGTCTTTTCTCAATTATACACTTTAGGCAAATTCGAAACACGCACATGAATGGCAATTTTAAAAACCATGAATAATGATTCCAACGTGACTGAACCGCTTTTTGTTACTAGGTCAGACAATGAATAAGTCAGTTTCATTTTTCTTCTGGTTCCGACAATCTATGCAGATTAAATATAGAGTAACAAATGACAACGGAAATGTCAAGGCTGAGTTTTCATGCAAACCTGTGCTTTGCTCAGCCTGTAACATTAGACATAGAAACTTCATTTTTCGATTTATTTATTTATATATAAGAATATATACTATTTTTAACTTCCTGATATGCAAAATGTGATACAAAATGACTCCTTCAAATCAAAAGGTGTTGTAAGCTGCGGTAGTGGCTTCAAACTAACTGTCGTGATCCAATATCCGTGAACAAAATTTTAATTTCGAGGGAAAAAAGTCAAATAGTAACTGAAAATTTTATATGAAATGCAGATACATGACGTAATTCGATTTTCTCACACACCTATGAATATACAGGATCGTATGAAATTATTTTTTCTATTCGCTGTCTATCTATTACAGTTTGAACATTTTACCTATTGCTATGTATTTATATAATTTCTTGACACGAATACATAAAAATAGTTCTCTACTACAAATGTAAATACATATTCTCTCTAAGAAAATACAGTATATACACTCGAGGCAACTTTCAGTGGGCGACTCACTATTTCTAAGAACACTAACAGCAGCATTTCGTTAGTACTACGTTTCTAAAATGGTCACATCCAGAGAAAACCAATTCACATGGAACACTTAATGGTCGTCTTAGATTCAGAATTCAATTTATTTATTTATTCATTATGAAAGCAGTCACTTTTAGAAGAATGGAGCAGGCTTATACTGTCAGGTTTGTTCTAGCAGTCTTATAAAACAAAAGAAATAATGAAAATATCCTTTTTAAATTTTATACTAGAAATTATTAAAAAAAACTTTGTAAATTTTATACTATCTTCAAAACATTCAAATACCATCAATTTAATGTTTTAGAATGATAAAAGAGTAATTCAATTATTAAAACGAAACGTTATTTGGTTATTATTATACGGTAAAATCTGGACTGAATTATACAAAAAATTTGGGAAGTAGTATCTCATTTATGCATCCTCGCGTTCTGCAGACAACTGAGTGCGGGATGACAAAACACAAAATGAAATTTGCAAAAAAATCGATGTTCTGTTTAAGGAGAACTTCACGCTCAGCACTCAGCAAATACTGGCACAGTATTTTATGAACCCAATCCAACTGGTATCGTTGTAAAGTTTAAACAATCACCTGTGGTGCAAGAACGAATTAATCAAATTGACATCAATTCCTACGAGAAAATAATTTCGGTTGACTAATTTTTCGGTAAACGAACAGCTTTCAGAAACGATTTAAATTCATGAACCCATGTTTCACTGTATAATCAGAAGGCCGCAAAACCATGTAAACATCTTCGGAAAGAGTAACATTGATATGTGCATGAACTGTAAGAATATTTATTTAAAAAATAAAAATAAATAAATAAATAAAAAATAAAATAATTTAAAAAAAAAAAAAAAAACTTTCAGATTTACGCCCAAAGGGGAACGTTTTGCCTTAACCTTCATTTATTAAATATCGGGCTCCTCTTCGCAGTTAAACCATAAAATTCAATCTAACAGCAATATCGCAAAATATTTAAAAGAGGATATCTTTAGAATTTCCCTTCCGATACACAGTCTTCCGCGCTGGAGATAAAAAAATTTTTTTTCCCCTGTACAGTGCCATTGCTCTCCCTTTGAAATCATTGAGTTTCTTAATCAAAAACTCATAAAGGCTTTACAAAATATGAAATAGATAATAAAACAAATTATGAAATAGATAATAAAACAAATTCCAAATTTGAGCTTACAGATGCCCATATTCCAGTGGAGACGTACGTTATTCAAAATTTGACGGCTCTAGGTACCGTTCTTTTATCCAATGCGAGAAACATCTACATTTATGCAGATTCTTCATTGTTCAATTTCTTTAATACAAGGTGATAATATTTGGTGAACAATTTCAAAAGTGATTCGCCGCCAAAACGAAATTAATAGCCTTTCTGAGGTTAACGCTCTTTTAGGCTAAAAACCTCAAAGTAACGTATCATCCTGACAATCGGCTTAAAATTTAAACCTGTTATGCCTGCATGGTTATACATTATTACATGAGCAAAGTAACATAATTTGTAGCAAGTAATCACTATCGGTGTCTTAGATATCGGTTAAAAAGTACGTAAAGGTGTCTTAGATATCGGTTAATAAATAGATTTACTCGTTAAGATTTTCGAAGCTGGGGTAACCCAACGTAGACGACGTCGAATTAGGATGCTGTAGCATTAAAAATTTTGAAATGAAACATTCCACTTAAATTTTTAAAGAATTATACTGGCATGACGTCATTAAAAAGGCTCGTCCCTCTCTCTCTTTCTTCAATGTTATACACGGTCACTGTTTAAAAAAAAAATAAATCACGCTAATTTTAACACTTTTTTTTTTTTTTTTTTTTAAAACTTGGTATTTAAAATGTAGCTTCCTTTTCGAAAACTATAACAGAGGAAAAATGAGTATTTTTGTGTATTCATTTTTTAATCTTAATTCAAATATAGTACCGTCTGAAGAAGTCTGTATTGTTTAGTTCTCATAAGCAATGACTTAGCATCAAACTTGATTCACTCTGACAAGAAGGCGGAACAGGTTTGTTGGATGTAGGTGAAATACACCTGTTCCGAATCTTCAAGGTCTGAATATGCATAAGCACGCAAAGCAACAACATGGAAGATGTGGGATTGCCTTTTTGGGTTTAGAAATTGGATTTTTATAACAAGAAAATCCATCTGAATTTTTTTTTTTCACCTGACATATGAAAGCATACAATCTGGTAATACAGATATCATAAATGACATAGCTGAGGTAAGCATTTAATTGCGTTTCATTTTTAAGAATGCATTAAAAGTATATATGTACGTAATTCTTTATTATTTTAGTAATATAACCATTCTATTCACCACTACCTCCAAGACAGTGGTGCGCAAGTGTTTTGCCTAACGAAACTGCTATTAGCCTGTTAAATAGCTAAATAATTTAATAAAAACTTAATTAAAGACAATTCCAAAATTAAATCAAATGCAGCGAACATTCTCGAGACATCCCCGAGAAAAAGTGACTTGAATTTGAGAACATACATATTCATAATCCAACATCGAGTCTATGATAGCCACCTCCACAGAATACCAATATCGTCTGAAGTCGCGGGTGGGTCCTCTTAGAAATGATTCACTGCAATCAAATGAAGACATTTACTGCAATCTTTTTTTTCTCCCTCCCCAATAATGCAATGCGAAAAAATGTCGTAAAACTCTTACAAAAGAAACAGATAAACTTTAGATTGAAAAAATCTTCAAAAACTCAGAATGAAACTGGGTCATTCATTACCTCAACCATAACATCAAAATTAT